TCTCTCTCACTCTCTCTTTCTTTCTTTCTCTTTCTTCCGCCCCCCTCTTCCCCTCTCCCTTTTTCTCTCTCTCTCTCTCTCGAGCACCCTCTCTCATCTACTACCGGTCATTGGCGAACGGTCCAATGCGGCATGATCGCGAGACGTTCCCGCGCCATTTATCCCAGTGAGTAGGCAACGAGTGACGGCTGGCAATTATGAGGAAATCCGGGCGCGCCAATCGGCCGAAATAACACGCAGCGTTATATATACGCGCACGTACCCGCTGGCCGCGCTCCTACAGGCCCGCTTTGAAGCCTTGCACCGGCGCTACCGGTGGCGGTGTACAGCCGCATAGTGCACGCGCTAATGCGGAACAGCTTTGGCGCTTCGTTAGAATTCAGCCATTTGCTTGTTCACGTTGAAAACGTACTCGCGCGAGTCGGGTGGGAGATAACACGGGGGGATCGTTAGTGGAGACGAGGGCAGGGTAGCGTGCTGGCGACGAGGGACCGACTGAGGAGCGGGAGCGGCCGTGGTGAAAGAAGCGGCGAGGCCCTCGGCAAAGAAAGCGGAAGCAAAAGGGGTTATGGGGGGGATGGGAAATGCCGGCGGAACACCTGTAGTGAAAATAAATAATATTATTGAATGAAGAAAAACGAAAGTAGGAGGCCGCAAACGCTAGCTGTGAGTGAGAGTGTTAAACACAGAAGGAGCGACGAAGAAAGCAAGAAAGAAGAGAAGTAGCGAAAGATAGATTCATTGAAGACAGGACAGACGGACAGCCAGACAGTCAGACAGACAGTCAGTCAGGCGGACGGACGAACGGACGGACGAACGGACGGACAGACGGACAGACGGACGGACGGGCGGACAGACGGACGGACGGACGGGCGGGCGGACGGACGGACAGACGGACGAATGAACAAACGGTCGAACTAACGGATGGACAGCTGGGCGGACGGAAGGACGAAGTAATAGATGGATGTATGCGGGAAAGAGAGAGGAGGGCGAGCGAGAAAATGAGACAGGGGATGGAGAGAGGGAAATGAAAGGAAAGGACTGTGAGGCAAACAAGTGGAAACAGAATGCGCACCCACGCAATGCGAAATGTTGCTATAGTTGAAGCAGAATTCCATGAAATACGGAGAAGTTCTTTTCTAAATTAATAACAGTACATGGTAACTTGTATCGAAGCAGTTCCTGTTTTTGGCCGCTATAACCTCAAATTTCATCCATAATATCTGCAAAAGACGACAAGTGCAGTAATCTCGCAACCCTTAGTTTCGCCATGATTTTTCGTCAAATTGGTGGTTTTGATTCGGCAATCCCAACAGCTAGCTAGTTAAGCGTCAAGATCTTTGAAGTTGCAATTCTCAAATTTCAAACTCTGCTACAAGCTTATACACACGCACGCACGCGTCCATCCATGTTCCCAATGACCATCGCACCAGTAAGTTTAAAATATAACTAGAAAAATATCATTAAACCCATTACACGGCAATTAAGTTTAATCAGTCATCCAAGCAGAAAACATAGTAACCTGGGAATGCTTGGACAGCGGTTAGCTGCCACGGGCCTTTCATCTTGCCTCCAATCACGCTTATTAAATTTCTTCGTCTGAAATAAGCCCACGGATTTGCGGGACCCGTCTACGCGCGAGCTTGTTTGCCTTGTTATCGGCGCTGTCTCAGGCTATGAAAAGCGAGGTCGGTTATTCCGTACGAAGCCAGGTTCACCCTACCTGCCTAATGCGCTAGATTGTCACAAATACTCTTCCAATTGAGAGAGAAAAAATCAAATCGATCAGAGCTTCATCATGCGGATCGATGGCAAGTAGACCGATTATGAGTTTTCAATCGAAACAGCTAATGATTTTCTACTTCGATCCATGGCAGGCAACATTGTTCGGTTGATAAATCCGTGTCCTATACCACAGTGCACACGAGAATAACACAAAAGATTGTGAGGCCATAACCACAACTCTAACTGCAACTCTAAGACTAGACATGCGCATTTCGTATGCACGCGCGTTTGTACACGTGTGCGCGTTTGTACACGTGTGCGTGTGTGTACATGTGTGCGTGCGTGAGCGCATGTATCATGCGAGCGCGCAATTAGGGTCGAGCCTCCGTGATCCGTATCATCGCTGTGCGTAAGCATTCTCGAATGCGGCCTACATCTTTGCAGGACACTGCAGATTGACGTGTCTTCCAATGACCTTTATACTGTGTCGATATAAGAGAGCGCGTGCGCAAAGGAGCCGACCGAAACCGATATCCGCAGACCGCACTCTACCTATAACTCGATCTATCTATTGCCAAGTACCTACCCTTCTCGCAGTGTTTCGACGTACGCACTCCATAGACGATTATCTTTGTGTGCTTTTAAGAGCAAAGGCGAGAGAGAAAAGAAGCGAGAGTAGGAGAGGGTAAGATGAGAACGAGGGAGGGAAGATGAAGCGACGGCGAGAGAGGGACGGTAAGTGGCATGCAGAGAGGAAGGGGCAGAGGGAAGCAAAATGAGAGAGCGCGGGCGATTGAAAGAGAGGATAAAACAAAGATAGATGGAGAAGGTGAGCGCAAGAAAAGAAAATGAATGAAGAGGAGAGAGAGGGCAAGTGGAAGAGATCGAACAAAAATTTTTTTCGCTGCCACTTTCGCTTCCTTTCTCTGCCACTACTAATGCTTCCATATTCCATTAGAACGTTTGTCGGACTTTGATCGAAAATGCGACAGAGACTAGTTGGAAATTTAGATCACTCAGATGAAGAGATAAAGTCTATAGGGGAACTTTGTGTGAGGCTATAGCTGGCCGTTCGCAGGAAGAAGGATTACTTGCATATCCATTCTGATCTAAGACGGACGGCGTTGTTGGCTGGAAAATTAATTTATTAATACGTCTATGTAAATAGGTAAAAAATGTCATCGATCTTGATCCTCGCGCAGTCACTACGAGACGCAATGCGCACATGCTTCTTGTATACATAAGGAATTTCTACACTTCTTCTAACGTAGTTGGTATCGATTTATCAGATAGAGAGAAAATTAGAGAGGATGATGGATGCATGGTTAAATGGATCGGCGGTTAGATGGGTTAATACACGGGTCGATCCACAGCCAGGCAGACAGACAGACAGATAACAAACAAACAGACGCACGCACACGCGCACGCACACACGCACGCACGCACACACGCATGCGTAATCGCAAGCCACTCAGATATACAAATAAAAACTAATTTTATAAACGTCAATCACGATCGCTTCGGCAAATGTACGAAGCAATATACATCACCACACCATTCGCCCCCGTTCAATCGATGCGTCTTCGTGGCCTATCGCCCCGAAGGTAGTGCGCGACCGACAAAGCGAATGATCGTGCCGGAAAAAATGCGCCCCGCTTTACATGTTAGACGAATGGAAATGGCTGTTGGCTGAGCGCCGTGGCAGCGCGCGGGAGATGCGGGCCGTTGCTAAGCTGTGCCTGTGCATGAGCGTGTATGCTCTCGCGGCTTTTCATCGTTTTTTTCTTATTTGTTTGTTACGCTGCTGCTGGATCCGCACGCACGACGTGCGGTTCTGCTAGCTGGGTGTAACTATATTTAGCACGCCGCAGCGATTCCGTTACACCACGCCGTGTTATGCGTGGCGCTGCTATCGTTAAATAGTGAATGACAAGACATTTCGTAAGCGGCACTTTTGCCGGTTTAGTTAATGTCTCCAGGTTTTAAACATAATGACAGATGGCGTAGGCAATGCGGAGTGACGGATATTATTACTTATTGCTATGTTTGCGCACTCTCGCTCGCTCTTGCCCGCTCCATGTACGCTCGATATCTCCATCTATGCGTTCTTCATCGAATGCAATATTTATTACGTAGTTAGAGTAATTCGTCAAAGCTGCCTCATTATATTTACTTAAAATTATGAGCTTGAGAAATGGTTGCTTAACCAAACAAACAAACAAGTTTAAATCCAATTGGACTGCAATAATAACACCGAACAGACGTAGCCGGAAGGGAAATGCGCTGGTTGTTTCCGAAAATTCGAAATCATGTTAAAGTCACGGGAAGCGGCGAAGAAGCGTTGCTAAAATTGGTTCAACAAGTTCAATATCCTCAAATGTATCGAGAAAACGAGTCGGGCCCTATCTGTTCCTCTGACTTTATTGCTTATATATAACGATTTATCTTTTGTAATATCGTCTGGACATTTCGGGGTTGTTCGTGTTTGTACTGTGTAATGCTTATCCTCTGGCACTCTTGCATGTGCGCTGTTATTGCCGTTGTCTATTTGCCCTTACTACACGTTTGACGGGCGGTCATCACCCATGCATCGTAATTTCAGTATCGATATCGGCATCTGCGAGTCGTTCCGTGTCGTTCCGTGTCGTGCCGTGTCGTGCTGTATCGTGCCGTGCTGTTTCGCGTCGTACCGTGTCGTGTCGTGGCGTGTCGTGTCGTGTCGTGTCGTGTTGTGTCGTGTCGTGTCGTGTCGTGTCGTGTCGTGGCCTGTCGTGTTTTGTCGTCTCGGGCTGTGTTGCCCCATGTCGTGTCGCGTCGTGTCGTGCCGCGTCGTGTCGTACAGTGTCGCGTCGAGTCATGTCGTCTCATGCTGTGTCGCGCCATGTCGTGTCGCGTCGTGTCATGCCGTGTCGTACTGTGTCATAGCGTTACATCACGATGCGTCGCGTCGTCACGTTACACTGCGTTACGTAGCGTCGCGTTGGTTCGTCTCGTTCCACTCCTGCGCTACGATTATTACACCGAACGAGATCGCGCGACCTCCAATTGAATTTTGCGGACGCTTTCTATTACAGGTCCGGGCGCACTGACTCCGGCGCGCAACTACAGACGTGCAACGTGCAACAGCGTGCAACGTGCGTGCATCAGCTTGCAACGTACAACAGCGTGCAACGTGTGGGCAACAGCGTGCAACGTGCGTGCAACAGCGTACAACGTGCGTGCAACATACGTGCAACAGCGACAGCGACTCGTCGGGCGACGAATCGAGCGTCAACATGTCGCACGGCGGCGACGATAACGCGACGGACGCGTTCGCGGCGGCCGACGTGTTCCTAGCGGGAGCGAACGCGACGCTCAGCCCGCCGCAGTACTACTCCTACTCGTACCGCGTCATCGCGACGCTCTTCTGCTCGATCATCTTCTTCGTCGGCGTCGTCGGCAACGTGATGGTCGTGCTCGTCGTCTGGCGCAGCAAGACGATGCACACGCCGACGAACTGCTACCTGATGTCGCTCGCCATCGCCGACTGCATGGTGCTTATCTCCGCCGTGCCGTCCGTCATCACGGGCTTCTTCCTCGTCAAGGACGCGTGGGTGTTCGGCAGCGTCGCCTGCTCGATCTTCGTGTTCCTCAACTACCTGGGCATTAACGCGTCGTCGCTGTCGATCACCGCCTTCACCGTCGAGCGCTACATCGGCATCTGTCACCCGATGAAGGCGCAGATCATGTGCACGATGGAGCGCGCGAACAAGATCATTGTCGGCGTGTGGATATTCGCGATGGCCTACAACAGTCCCTGGCTGCCGCTGACGCAGATGGTCACGAACGAGTACGCCGTCGTCGGCACGGTGAGCTCGTGCGGCTTCAAGCTCGACCGCGACATGTACACGTGGGTCTACATGGCCGATTTCATTCTGTTCTACGTCGTACCGCTGCTGCTGTCCTGCGTCATGTACGGACTCATAGGACGCATGCTGTTCTACAACGCGATGCCGCAGGAGGCCTGCATGCAGCGAACGTCGAACGGAGAGGCCGGCGGACCGCCGCGCAGCGCGACGCACGCCGCGCGCGTGCAGGTGCGTGTGTGCGTGCGGGGGGCGTGTGCGTGCGGCATTTCGACAGTGTGTGTGGGAGGAGGTGTGTGTGTGTGGGGGGAGGGGGAGGGGGGTGCGCGCGCGTTTGTGTGAGTTGTTTGTATGTGTGTGCATGTGTGGTGCGCGTTTGTGTGTGTGTGTGTGTGTGTGTGTGTGTGTGTGGTGCGTGGTGTGTGTGTGTGTGTGTGTGTGTGTGTGTGTGGTCGTGTGTGTGTGTGTGTGTAGTGTGTGTGTGTGTGTGTGTGTGTGTGTAGTGTGTGTGTGTGTGTGTGTGTGTGTGTGTGTGTGTGTGTGTGTGTGGTGTCGCGTGCGTGTTCGTACATGTGTGTGAGTGTGCGCACGCGTGTGTACGTGCGTGTGCGCGCGTGTGTGCGTGCGCGCCGTGTGCCCGTATGTGTGTGTGTGCGCATGCGCGCGCGCGTGGTGTGTGTGCAATGCATGTGTGCGCCAGTGTGGCCGGTATGTGTGTGTGTGCGCCCGCGCGCGCGCGTGTGTGTGAACATGCATGTGTGCGCGTGTGTACGTGCCCGTAGCGTCGTTGTGTATGTGCAAAATAATTAGTAATTAATTAGTAATGCATGATTATGCTAGCGTACAATAAGTAACGCATCGTATTATCAGTACTGCTCGTAATTAGTACATACATGTCGTGGAAAATACGTAGCGTGTAATCAGTAGGATAGCACATATATCACGTAATATGAACTGTTTTTCACGTTAAACCTTTTATATGATTGTCAGATGTATCAGACATCTATCGCACAGTACACGAAGAATACAGAGACGGGTTTGCGACACGCTTGTGTTGTTCCGATGCATTATATGTTTTATTATCAGTCTTGTTAAGATCCAATTTTCAAAATGAGGAAATTTCTTATTCATAGGCTCAAGTCTGCCATCTTATCGATCGAAACTACTCGGTTTAGCACAAACATCTGATAAGCATTTAATACCCTAGGATAATATATTTTTATGATAAAATACGGCTGTTACCACGACTACAACCACTGCCGCTACCGCTACCTACTTACCACTACCAACAACCAACTACCGACTACCCCTACCACTACCCTACCCACTTGAACCCACTACGCACTACACTACCACTACCACTACCACAACCACTACCACTACCACTACCACTACCACTACCACTACCACTACCACTACCACTACCAATACCAATACCAATACCATCATTACTACCAATGCGACTACTGTCACTGTGCTGTTGTTACTATCTGTCTATCAATATATCTATCTATAATCTATCTATCTGTCTGTTATGGGCTGTCTGTCTGTCTGTCTGTCTGTCTGTCTGTCCTGTCTGTCTGTCTGTCTGTCCGTCTGTCTGTCCTGTACTGTCTGTCTGTCCTGTCCTTCTGCTGTCTGTCTGTCTATCTATCTATCTATGGCTATCTATCCATCCATCCATCATCCATCATCCATCCCATGGCCATCCAACTCAACCGTGCCTTCCGTCGCATGCCATTCGTTCCGCCCGTCGTCCGTTCGTCCGTCCCTCCGTCGCGTCCGTCCGTCGTCCGTTCGTCCGTCCGTCCGTCCGGTCGTCCGTCCGTCCGGCCGTCTGTCTATCTATGCTATCTATCTATCTATGCTATCTATCTATCTATCTATCTATCTATCTATCTATCTATCTATCTATCTATCTATCTATCATATCTATCTATCTATCTATCCTATCTGTCTATCTATCTATTATCTATCTATCTCATCTTACTAATTTATCTAATCTATCTATCTATCTGATCTATGCTATCTATCTATCTATCTATCTATCTACTAATCTATCTATCTATCTATCTCACTACTATCTCAATCTATCTATCTATCTATCTATCTATCTATCATGCTATCTATCTATCTATCTATCTACTATCTATTCTATTATCTATCTATTTATCCTATGCATCATCTATCTATCTATCATCTATCTACTCTATCTATCCTCTATTACTAATCTATCTATTACTGCTATCTATCTATCTATCTATCTATCTATCTATCTATTATCTATCTATCTTCTATTCTATCTATCTATCTATCTATTTATCTATCTCTTCTATCTATCCATCTATCCTATCTATCTATCTATCTATTATCTATCTATCTATCTAATCTACCTATCCTACCTATCTATCTAATCTACTATCTATCGATCTATCTTCGATCTATCTATTAAATCTATCATATCTATCTATCGTCTGGGCTAATGGCTTAACCCCTTGTCCCGATATGCTTCATTGCTCTCACATTCATTAACTAATATATTCAATTATATTTAATTTTTTTAAGTTTATATAAATGTATAACGGATCCGGGGTGATGCGTTGAGTGACCAGACAGCCGGATTTAACCGCATATGTTTGGCAGCGAGCGGAATACGTCCGCGTCGCCCGCATGCCTGCAGCTAGACGGGAAACGAGCCGACAGACTGGTGACAGCATCATCGACGCTTGTCGGCGCAGGCATATAAGCAACAGACGTATATCGATCAGTATAGCATAGAATCTAGATAGCTACTAGACATCATCCAGCCCCCCCTCGCTCGTTACATACATTATTACTAGACAAACTACAATAAATTCAAATTACAATTTATATATAACCCACTATAGCTCAGTTACAGTTATTAAATATAATTATGGGCGATGTGTGTGCGCGCGCGCGGCGTCGCATCGACGTGGATGTGATGTCGTGTGTGTGTGCGGGTGATGTGTTGGTGTAGTGCATGTGTGGTGTGCTGTGTGTCGTAGTGCTGTGTTGCTTGATAGCATCCAGCACGTTACTACGTGCTGATTTATCCCCCAGTCTCGATTCACCTAGTTCGTCCTTCCTGCCTAGACTTTTTCTCGGTGTTCGCTAGGTTCTGCCGCTTGCCTCCCGGCATTTTTGTCAGCTGGCACTTCGCCCACCATCTCGTTTCGGCTGTCTCTCCTGATCTGTCTCCGTCGTCACTGGGCTTGAATCTGTGCGCGTGGATGCTGTTAGTCGATAGTGTGTGTGCTGGGCTGTGCTTGTGGTGTGTGGATTCGTCTGTCATAGGATCGTAGACATCGTGTCGATACTGAGCTAGGGTATGTTTCGGATCCTCTGCTCTCTTCGGTGTTGTGTAGGCTCCTGCCGGAATGTGTTGATATGATGTAGCATGAGCGGATCGCATCCATGCGGTGTGCCCCTTCTGTGAACCAGATTTTCGGACTATTCATCGTGAAACTTTGGCCATCCTAATCTCGGGGCCGCTTGGCCCGTACGTTCTCACAATTACGCCCAGTCGGGCGATGAACCTGGTAAGGAATGATGGCCATCATGTCCTGGTGGGCTTGCTTCCGCAGAACTAGAATTGAGGGCACCGACGTACCGCCCACAGCGAAGAGACGATCGTTAACAGATGACAAGAAGACCTAAGAGAAACTCACATCCGTAAGCAAAAACCAAGGCTCAATCACGACTTCGTAAGGTTTGCTACACTCACGCGAGAGACAGTAACAGGATCATGGGCAATCATCAGAAAACTCTGCGCAAGAGCATGGAGGACCACAGTAATACTGCTCATAGTTCACAGTCAATGATTAAGAGACTTTGCGCTAATATACCCTCCATAAACTTATAGTATATTATACTAAAAAGATACCTAAGTATAAGTAACATGACAAGAGTTCACCCGCTTCAGCTATTGGGTTTAGGAACAATGGGACTGACGCGAGGATACCGGACGATTAAGTCAATATTTAACATTAGTATATGTGTAACTATTATAAATGATTAGCAGAAGTACATTTAATATGTTGCACTAATACATATATCGATGCTATATAGCATATCATGTGAACTCTATACATATATGTGCGGATATACATGTGAGTGTCATATACATATACAAATGGTGCTAAAGGATCATATATTCACTGTGGCGTGTATAACCATATAATTTTGTGCTATATACAATATGTGCTATATACATATATATGTGCTGTATAGCGATAGATTGCGATCTTGGTCTTCTACGCGGGTCATCACGAATGCTTGGCGGTGGATCACGTGCTTGCGTTTGCCGGCGCTTCGCCGGGATGCCCGTACCGGATTTCATCGTCGTCATAAACTCGTTCGTCAACGAAGAATACCTTCGCTATCGTCGGACGACTAGGATACTTTTCTGTTCTGCAAGGGACGATGGTGTAGAACATTAATTCGGGGTCAGGTTATCAACCGGATTCTCTTACACGAGACGCTATGTTCGCGCTACGGAAGTTGTGGTTCGCCGCGCGGTTCCGTCAAGATGTGTGGCTGCGCTTTGAGCGGGCTAAGAGAGAGGAAGAAGACGGTTACAGGAGTGGCGTAGTAGAGTGGAGCTACGGTGTCGTACTCCTGAACTGAGGTGACAGGCTCAGTAGCGGTCGAGTGGCAGACCGGGCGTGTAGTGACCAGTCCACGGGGCGGTGTTCAAGATCTGTGACTAGAGCCTGGAACATGAAGTTGTCGCGGCAGCACTCTACAGCGGGCTGCGGTATGTAGTTAGGTCGCTGTCAAATCTGTACCGTAGCGGTCGCATGAACAAACCGCACTGGTCATGCTAGGTCGTGTAGTCAGGGTGAGTGGCTATAAGTGTGGTAGTGGTCATACATTGACCCCGTTGTGGTTGCGGCCGTGACAGGCCACGGGAGCTTTGTAAAAGCGTGGGTTAGACCATGTGGTTAGCCCGCAGTACCCGTAAACTGTGGCTAGTCGTGTAACTAAGTCTTCGTGTCGCACGTACGGTTGCGATAAATGTCACGTGAACTACTTGTCGGCACCGGTATATTGCCGTACTGTCCGACGATCAAGTCGTTGCAAAACAGAGTAGACGGCAAATTGTTATACGTATAACCTTGCGGTATGCTGACATACAGTCGTCCTAGTGCGGCAACTGTCACCGAGGTAAAGCTCGAATCGTGTAGTACACTACTGATCCGTGCGTGCGTCCAAATCTGTCCCAGCCTAAACGCATGTCGGTGTACACTATGGTCCATTTGTCGGCGCATATATCTGATCCACGCGACACCCCGCAAGTCAAGCGACGGACTATGTACGGCCAACTGGACGCAGCGAACACATGACCCTGGGACCACACGGCTTATGCAAGCGGTAAGACTGACAACGCGAACGCGGGCGCAGAACCGCAGTGTCATCAACGCTGGACGCCGTGTAACCGTGACGGCTCCCGGTTGTAACCACACGTAAACAGACAAACTAGAGAAAACCTTACAACTCTTTCACCATTATCAACTTGTCTGCAAGCGAAAATATGACGCACTGGATCGGACATGCGCGCGTGCCTACCCTCAGAGCGTGACCTCATAAGAGTATGTCACTAAAGTCTTTGGCAAGCGTTAAATTTATCGGAGATTACTGGAAGCCGAGACGGTCCTCAGCTCGGCAACAAACGACACGACGACCAAGCCCGTATGTTAGGGCGTGTTAATCACCCGCTTCTCCTGGTATTCTCTGTAGATACTGGTAAGAGCGTGATGAAGGCAAGATTCTGTCATGAAGTCGAAATATAGCTAGTGCTGGTACAATATCTCTATTCTAACACCGCAATTTATGCTGTTCTGTATTAACGTGCGGCAGTGTAATCCCATAGAGTACACATTTTTGCTTGCTTCAGAATTTCATTACATAACACACGCTGGCACGCGCGTGAGCTAAAAATTATACCGACACACTAGACGTTTCGGAAAGCGCCTCTACTGACCGTCAGTTTATGTACTCTATGTCTTATAAATAACGGGTGCCAATAAACTGCTAGTTTAGAATATATGGCAGTCTGCACAGATGGTGAGATCTGAGAGTAAGGATCTTTTATTGCCGAATGACCTTTCGAGATATGTGTACAAACCGTTAACGAGAATCTTGGAACATAAATGTGACTACGGTATGTCGGCAATAGACAAGACGGCAAATCGCAAGTCATCGAAAGAGCCGCTGCAGGCAAGCGCCAGCCAAACCGTGAAAAACTCTATTTGCACTATCGGACCACTAACATGTCTGGATGTGAGTCGGTCGACGACGATAATGTCGTTTACGCTGTTTTTGACAGATCACGTTGTGGCGCGTGGAGCGTATCGCCCGACTGGCCCGTGCTGGCATAATCAATGGCATTACTAATTATTACTTAATTATCTTTGCACATACACAACGACGAGTCCGGGCACGTACCCACGCGTGTCTCCGGACTCACGCCAAGCCTTATCGTCCAAAATGGGTCCGACGCCACCACCACACTCTGTCCGCGCGCGTCCGCTCGGCCCGCGAACAAGACAGCTCCACCGGAAGTGTCCAGAAAGTCCAACGACCCGAGCAGGGAAGGCCGCGTGAGAATCGTCTCAAATCGGCGGCGGAACACCCGTGTCTCCCTACCACTATTGCAACTCAGAACGACATTCCATCACGCCGGCAGGCGCGGCGCGAAGGACGCCACTAACACAAACTGACACCTACGGGCCAGCCAAAGTTTACAGACACGCGCCGCATACGGCCACAATATTTCCGAACGTAGGCCCCAGAGCCACGCTTGTGCGAAAACAAACGCCACGGCAGCGCGGCAGTCCGCGCCCGCCTGATTGCTTGCCACTTGACGTGAGCGCCAGGCCACGAAGCAGCTGCTCGATCCTGCGTCTTAACAACACACGTACCCACGGCGACCTAACCGCAAGCTGAGCCGACCTCTATCTTTTCGTACAATGTCAATACATATATCAGTTAGTTAACGAACAACTAGTATACACATATATAGCACTATACATAGTATAACTAACATATATATATATATACACATAATTGGAATACAGCACAAAACCCATCAGGAAGTCAGAAACACCACACAAAGTTATCCACACACGCTCAACATTTGCTCAACATTCGAGCTACGAAAGAAGAAGAATGGTGGGTGTAAATGATTACTCTCGGCTGGTCGCGTTGCGAGGCTATACTCGACAACGCCATATCGCACGGTCTAGACAAATTCGAATATAGCCGTGAGAATAACACGTTGACCATTTGTTGTGCTCGTGTGTTCGTAATATCTT